GGTAAATTTCACACTGATAGCCTATTTGATGTCGTTGTTATCGCTATAGGTGATATTTTATATAACATCTATGAGTTGCTACACCGTTCTACACTACAGTAGAGAAGGATTGTTGATCTATTCCCTATGTTCGATGAATTTTTTCAGGAAAGAATTTGATATTGTCCGTCACTGCATGCATGATTCAAACTGAAGCATACCATACAAATAACTGTACATTGTACAAGTGTCCATAGTGCCATTCACTCTTCCGTGAAATTCTATCTATTCTTACAGGAAAGATTCTAATATACTGGATAAAATGGCTAGCTTACATACTAATAAACAGCGACTAAAACAGATATACGAACATGAAGGTGTCGATTTGTAAATTGGAACCTTACCTAGTAGCACCTTGTATCAATACTTCAATATTCAATTGCCTTGTCAGTGGAAGTATTTATCTCACTAAGATGATGAACCAGAGTAAGGAGATTATTTAAGAGTGGAATAAATGCAAAATGAATTGATATCACGATTTAATTTGTCTTTCCAAGCGCTCTATAACACAGCGATGAGCCATAAGGAAATTAAGTGATTTAGAGCGTCAGAACTAAACAAGATCTATTCTTTGTGAACAATAGGCGCTGGTGGTGTTGGTTATCACGTGATCGTTGTTATTGTACCATAATGAATGATTGTCTCTTTGATACGATGGCACTTATAAAATCGTCTCTTGCTTGACTCATCTATAGTATCGTATAGGCTTTTCCAGCCTTCAAGAGACTCAATACTGTCGGCCGCCATACTCTATTAAGTCAGTCTTCTTCTTCACTAGTCCATCCATTACAAATGGATGGGAGACTTTATTGATGAGAAGATGTTCATTACTAGCTATAGAAATCGTTTGGCTTGGTAGGAGAACAATAACTTGTCCCAATTTTTTATACTCTTTCTATACTTGAGTAGTATTTTTCTTTTCCATCTTTTATATCACTTATAGGAGGTGATGGATGTTTTACCATTAGAGTCGACTAGCGGCGATGAAAAATCAAATTCTGTTATGATTCGTTTAGGTCTAGGATTAGGGGGATACAGCAGCCTGGACTGCAATGGCTTTCATAGGAAATAGTTGGAAGGAGGATACTGGAAGAATCTCCTTGTACTTTTATTATGATTGCATCCTTTATAAGAGTATGGTAAATAACGTATTTGTTATCAAGTAGCTAGAAATGGATGAGAAGAGAGTCTTCATCGATTTCTGCTTCAACTCGGATGATATTCAACTACAGATGTTGAAATATTTCCAGCTAAGCTGGGGTTTGATAGAGACAATCGTAAAGGATAGAACAACTATTCTATGATGGAGCATCGATGTCTTAATCAATTTTTTTTTATTTCGAAGGAGTAGTTAGAAATAGATGAAAAGAGAGTCTTGATCTATTTCTGCTTCAACTCGGATGATATTCAACTACAGATGTTGAAATATTTCCAGCTAAGTTGTGGTTTGATAGAGACAGTCGTAAAGGATAGAACGACTATTCTATGATGGAGTATCGATGTCTCAATTAATTTTTGGGGATTCGAAGGAGTAGTTAGAAATAGATGAAAAGAGAGTCTTGATCGATTTCTGCTTCAACTCGGATGATATTCAACTACAGATGTTGAAATATTTCCAGCTAAGCTGGGGTTTGATAGAGACAATCGTAAAGGATAGAACAACTATTCTATGATGGAGCATCGATGTCTCAATCAATTTTTTTTTATTTCGAAGGAGCAGTTAGAAATAGATGAAAAGAGAGTCTTGATCTATTTCTGCTTCAACTCGGATGATGTAAAACTAGTGATGTTGAGATATTTCCAGCTAAGTTATGGTTTGATAAGTGCCTAGATAGATATAGTAGTGAAGGATATTACGTCTGTTCTAGGGTGAACAACCGATGCCTTAATCAATTTTTTTTTGATTCGACGGAGCAGTTAGAAATAGATGAAAAGAGAGTCTTGATCTATTTCTGGTTGAACTAGGAGGAAGGAAATGAGTAATGTTGAGATATTTCCACCTAAGCTATGATTGGATAGATACAGTAGTAAAGTGTATTACAACTATAGATGAAGCATTGATATCTTCATCAGTTTTTTTATTCGTGTATCATGGATGAAAAGCTAGTCTTTAATATTTTGATCTCCAGTGTTGAGCAGTACGTTTTCAATATCGTCATTGATTCTTATAAGATAGGCTAATCTAGTCCCATGCAAAACTATCAAGCTATTTTGAATTCGTTTCATCATGGTAGTATACTATGTCAAGTTCTATATCGAACATGGAAATCGTGTCAGTTGTTGAATAGTTTATTTAAATAAATGGTAAAATGGGTAGTAGACTAGTGGTAGCCCATGATGCAGTGATCATTATAATTCAAGTAGCTAATACCATGTCCTCAGATAGATCAGTAATGCAATGATAAAATTGCTCGTACTATTTTATTTTTTATCATGCCTATAAATCGATCTGCTTCTGTCTTCAATCTGCAATTTAGTAAACTGTAGCATAATGAAACTAATTCAAAATAGATTTATAGTTTACATTAGACTAGCTAGACGAGTATTGAAATGATAAAATTGGTAGCGCAATTTTTGTCATGCATATACACTATACAGTACATGAATGCGATGACAAAGAATCGAAAAAATTATTTCCTGATGACGTGTTGAAGTATAAAGCCGAGATAAAATTTTTACATTCTATTTAAAATCTTTCAGTACCATCTCCAGTATACTGACAAAGTTGTAAGGGAAATTTATAACTGAGAACTTTCCTCAGCAGCAGAAAAAAAAAATAGATGAAATAGGATGGTGTATTAAAGCTAGTCAATAACAATATTGTTCCCTGTATTTTTTAAACTACCTTTGATGAATGGTACACGGGTAATTTTAAAATGTTAGACTTCAACATCTACTACAACATGGATTGAGATTCTCCAATAAAAGAATCATTTCTACCAAAACGAAATTCATTTACTTAGGCAAAATGTGACCCTTATGATCGAATTGGATTTTTTTTAATCCATAACAAGCTTTTAAAACTTATTTCTACCCTTATAATAGCATCACATAGTGTCCAATCATTTTGAAAAAGTTATCCTCAAATTAATACTTAATATGATGTTGGTACTTATTCAAAGACTTCCCATTGAGAATGAATTTATAAGTCCGGTAATTGCGAAATGTAAATCATATTTCATAATTCTGTTATTTGTGGCCCATTTTTACAGTATGAATAAACTTTTCTCTGCAATAGAGCTTTAACGTCAAATTTCATTAAGATATCAGCCAATAAAATATCATTGCTTTAAATTTATTACCGTAACTACCCAAATGCATGATACTGAATTAATATGTAAGCGAAAAATTTATAATCTCAATTCCATTTAGCTGTAGCAGCATATCTACTGTTATGAAAAAAAATTGAAGAAATTGCTAGATATTACACTTTATCGCATCAAGAATAGCAATTTGTCAGTCAAGTAATCGATTTAGACATGCTAGAAGAAATTCTTTAATAATGTATCGCTTTATTACTCTACTTAAAGCGGATTGATTTTGATCGTCATTGCGGAAGCTTCTTCGGATATCGAAAGTATTGCAAAGTTCTCTTTTGCGACAGTACTGGGTAGTCTCGAACAGTTCATGTCATGATCATTAAGATATGCACGTCTAATGAGTATAGGAAAATTATTTAGCAACGGATTTACTAACCTTGTTAGCCAACTTACTGATAATCAGCAATAAAATTAAATACGTAAAGGTGAGGTATTCAATATTTTACTGAACGGAATATTTTCGCTCTTCAATTTTGTTTAGCTGCTATCTTGTTCAAGTATTTCTTTCACCTGCCGTATTGAATGCTAAAGCAACTATAGTAAAATCATCTAGCTTAGTGTACTCTATCTTGTAGGCTTTCCAGCTGTTGGCGATAGCTAGCCTATCAATCATACTTTGCCAATATAATAAATTTTCAGTATAAATAATTAATCAAACAATTATTCCAATCCTTTTGAACTGCGAACAATACACTGATTGGCAATTGATCTATAAGAGTAAGCAGATATAGACAATAAACGCGCAGATACTCTTATGGATAGTGTATAATATCAGAAATTAAAATGCAAATTACGCTGATGTATGGAAATATTCTCAAGCTTTTCAACCCCATTCGCAACTGTGTTCCTACTAATATTAAGTTTTTTTTTCTTTTACAATGGCTAACGTTTTAAAAAGTATCTACTACTAACGTAACCCGTCTAAGTAGACATTGATCAACATACTATTGTTGCATTGCCTTCAATCATGAAAGGATCTACTAGATAGTACAAGATATTATAACCATTATATTTTAACATTGGAGGTCTACTTCGTCTACCTATGAAACAGTAGGCAGATATTCTTTTGTAATTTTGTCCCTTAATTTTTGACCGCTTATTTACGCGAATCAGTCCCATACTTGTCAATGACTACATACACAGCATATACTGTACAAATTTGTATTGGTTCGACTAATTCTTGATGGCGATAAAATGGATAGTTGTAATTAAATAATAGAACCAGCAAATTCTTGCATCTTGATATCTAGTTTCAATTCGAGAGTCGTGCAAACAGTGATGTACTTATGACATATTTAGTAAGATCGTTATAAAAGCAATAAGCCCGTTAATGACAGGAACCCTGTTATGATTACAGCTTCGATTGATTTATTTAAAATACTTCATATTAATAATATGGAATTAGAAATATCTAGTATCTCCGTGTAATTGCGATCTCAGGCCAAAGCGTTTTGCGAATACTGCATATTAGTTATTACTTGCGATAGTAGATGCACTGCACATGAAAGGTAACTCAGCCATGCTCAAGAGATAGTAAGCTAGAGCAATGCATTCCTTCTTTAATAACAAAGCTGCTTTCGATAGATGTACAGCATGTCTCTTATTGCACACTGTTATATGATTTTGTGTACAGTATCAGCTCATATAATATCAGCACTGTTAGAATAATTTATGATCTTATAAATACTACTGGTGGTGAACATTAGATTTCACTATTGTCATTTCCAGTAAATATCTAATTAAAATCATTCACTTAGTATTCGGCTTATGAATGAGCTTTCGTCATTTCATACATTCAGCATTCATTATTTTGCAGTTTATGATGCTATCATTCATATTCTTTCTATTGTGAATTAGTCTGCAAAATTATCTAATTATGTATTACGTATAGTATAAAATGATAGTGAATTATAATTATCGAATCGATATGAAAGTCCATATTTACTAACTAAATTTAGTCAATTCATCAATTGCTACGTAGGATCCTACACAGTGTTAGTTCATACGAGTGTGGTAGATTTGGAAAATTGAGTCTCGTTGCATATTTAGGACGTAATTTATTTGTTAATTTATTAATCATGAATAACTTTATCGACGTAAACAATGTTACATACATATAGGTTAGAGATGGTGGTTAACTACATTCTAGGACTCAAGTTTAATAATACATTACAAAATAGTTGATCATGATGTATCATCAAAGATCAAGTACTGTTCGGCATCTGATGTCTTGCCAGGGTTATGAAATACTTAAGACGAATACGTAGATTTGAAATGATCGTCATCAATAGTGGAATAAATGTGACCTTCTTTGCTTAAAAATTCAGTAGCATTTCTGAAATAAAATCAAAACCAGAGTTATTCATTGAGATGATGCAACCTTACGCTTTAAATTGTTTATAGATTACATCCTTTTCCTTGGACAGGTATAAAATTGCTAAATTCTAAGATACTGATTCACAAATTTAACAAGTTATGTATCACTTTGCACGTACTGACCTGATTTCATTTTCAGAAATGCCGCGCAATCTTTGAGAAATTTCTCTGATAGAATGACCTTGGTCTGCATTTGAAGCGCTAATACAGCTGTAAACCTGTTTTGACAACCATGTCAATAACAGTTATTGAACTAATTTTTAAATTATTGTATAATTGAAAGTATACAGTACGCTTGCATAACATCTAAATTGCTGCTATAAGAAACGACATCAATAGATATAATTCCTACAATCAAATCATATGTTACAGTCAAACAATTGACCTGCTGCTGTAGCCCGGATAAACTCTTGATTTCATTCCCTCCAGCGAAATCTGTTTGTATTACGTTACTGGTGTTCTTATGTTCGGTCGTAGGCTGCAAATAAGTTGTTCAACATATTAAAGATAAATAGTAATCTTTTATATACAGGCAGGCTTAACATTTACATTCAATGTATTAAATCAATTTGCAGTAGTGATAAAGATTCGTACTATAGCGGGGCCCTTAGTTTGCAACAAATGTGAATGTATAACTTCTAAGATATGATACGTTATTTCGTTGCAGTCTTCGATTGGCTGAATATTTATTGCCATGACATATCGGACTCCTTGCAAAGCACGTAAATGACCAACTACTCTAACATATGTATCCTCTCTGTAGGTAACAATCAGAATTAAAGCAAAGATAAGTATACATTGATTTCATTGAAATATATAACTCCTTCCGATGAAAATTTTCTGTGGTAGTTTACTTAGAGCTATAAGTGGACAGACCTGCAATCAGATTTTCGATTACGATCGTTTGCGGTCTCCTACGAAAATGTATAAAAAAAAACGGTAAAGCCTATGTTATATTTGATAGATTCCGATTTAATTCGAGAATTTTAAGATGTGTTTTTCCCTAAGCTATACTGGTTAGAGCATTCAGACTATATCGTTCGAATAGTTGCATATTCATGCTGGCAACTAGGCTACTTATAGATACGATAATTTGCCTCATCTAAATACTTAGATATGCTATTAGACTAATGTCCACTTGTATACTATACATCCGCAAGTGTAGAGTACATATTGCAGCTTACCTCAGAGTCTACCCATCGACGTACAGATATTGGTGATTTGGTCATATCGTCAACTGCATATTGAGTATAAGCTGCCGATTCTGTAACAGATCTTATCACGCCAACAAAGGTAATCTAATCATGTTGAACAATTCAGGATTTTTATATTTGAAGCTATATATTGATTAGCATATAGGTAGTAAATAATGCTATACCTATTATGGAATCCTATACACAAATACTATACAAAAAAAATTTCTATTCTTTCGAACTAGCTAGCACACTTGATGACTTTTTTAGTTCTTATGAACATCCAGGCATAGATTGCTCATGCCGTTGGATTTTATGCAATTGCTTTAATAGTAGTGATCAATCTCACGCCTGGAATTTTGTTCTACATAGAATTGATAAAGTTATCAATCTACCTGATAAACTTCTCGTCCAGAAATTTGATAAGTGTCACCTTGATCTTCTGTAGCTTTTAACAATTGGGCAACGGTAACAGGTATCAACGAATGAGTTCTTGTTCGTATTCTAACAGTGTACCATGGACAGATAAGTTGAAATATCCAAATCAAGAAAAAAATGTGCAATATAAAATGTTACTATTGTCAGTAGTGATTTTTATGATATCTTGTGATAACCATGGTATCATCAAGAATGAACACCAGGCATAATTTGAATTTATGTCTACACACTCTAGTACATCAAAACAATACCTTTTTATCTTGTGATCCAGAAATTGGAGTACCGGAACCAGAAGTACCCCTAGGTTGATCCTGAATGAAACCGCCGCCACCACCACTAATTCCACCACCGAAATTACTTCCGCCACCTACATCCATGGACTGTAAAGGCAGTATACGGTCATTTCATATGGAAATTAAATAGTAAGCAATTTAGCTGCGATTATACAGCAATTACTGAGATTTTCAAACGATGATGGATTTTGATCCGTGCAGATCGTTTCAATTACAGCTCATTCCATCTACCATTCGATCGCCTTTGCTAACTAATCACACACTGTGGCAACATAAGGATATCATACAGTGCACATGATTAGAATCATTACCATTTCTAAGTGACTACAGTATTGCTTCATTGCGTTGTTGTCGCAAAGATTTTAAACAGCAGCTACTATGCAATATGCATGATTTTGTTCCTTATACACATACTGTATACTGTCATTCCTTCATTCTAGCAGGTACAACGCTACTGTACTGTCTACGAGTGTGTATCAGCATATTGGTAGACGCGCATACACTTATTTTACTTGGCTCTATCAGCAGTATTCTGCGTAGTATGATGGACTACAGCACAAGATAGTAATAGAGTCACGAATACTGATCAATCTTTCAATTCTATGATTGTTCGATCAATGTGTATTACTAGTTACAATCTCAATTTATGGAGTGCATCCATCCCCTCAGGTACGGCCTATACAATAACCAGGACTTGACAAAAGCGGTTACAGTAATCGCTTTTCGCCATGTCTGGCACCCAAGTATCTCCAAAATGCAGTAAATCATCCTGAATTCAATTAGCGTATAACATCAAGTTATTTCAATAGATCAAAATATTAGCGTAACATGTGGATCTACTCGTAGTGAGCACAATGAGTTCATAGCAAATGGTATGGAGAAGTTGTTGTCGCTCCTGTGTGCAATGCTATTACCATGATAGAGGTGCTATGACGAAATGAAGAACTTCAAGTGTGGACTGTGCGGTAATTGCACTTAAATTGAGGCTGATGTAATCATCACCGAGATAGAAAATATCCTCTCGATATCACAAGCTCTACAATGACATGATCATCATGGATGGCAAAAGATATTATCCACCTATACGTTCCTTGATAGACATTGACTTACCTGATAGTTATTGAAGTTATTATTACTATCTAAAATAGAAAAAGAAGAAATAGAGGAACGTTGTTAAAATTCAATACAAATGCCTCTCCTCCATGATGTGCGTACGCAGGCAGTGTCTATCTCATTCGGGCCATCCGCAATTGCATCAGTCAACGTTGAATATACTGCAAATGATGATTTGGGGTATCATGACCATTCTGATTCCCATCTTGGATCCATTGCCCGAATGATCAACACACTGCCTGTGGCCACATCAAGATACGTTGATCATGCTGTCGGCTAGCTTTACTCTACATTTGCTTGACTTCAAGCCTAATTCTCCTTACAGTTATTATTCCACATGTTTTCTTCCTCTGTCTTTGATATGGTAAGGCTAAAAAGGATTGGTTTTCAACTATGAAAAAGATCCAAAATGAGAGGAAGATTTCTTTTGGAAGAGATTGCTTGGAGAAATTGAAGGAAATGGAGAAAGTTGCCTTGGCGATCGGACTCGCTCGACGCGTTCGTAGGGTGACGATAATGCAGCGGTTGACCGTAGTAGTCGAGTGAAGCTGGTTTTGCCTGACGTGACGACACTGACCTCTGGCCACGCACCTCAATTCCAGTTTGTCAGCGTGTTTAGTATGAAGAGACGTCGTCGATAGGGTACTGTATCGTCCATCCGATAGTCTTCATACTGACATCAGTCGTTGGCACTCCTCAGTGGTGGTAGCACAATATCGCTCTTTGTTTTGGCATGTTCAAGTTGTTTTGGGATATTGGCGGGAAATTTTGAGCAGCCATGACAGTGCATTGTACTGTACACGGTACAGTGCAATGCACTGTAGTACTGTACTGTAGATCCAGTCATTTCTCCACAGTATGATATACTGTACAGTATCCAGAAATGCCGCTAAAACGGCTGTATATCTTCAATGCTTTTGTCCAAACATATCTGCCAATCCTTAGCAAAATCAATCAAGATTTTAAATCTTTTAGTGCATTTGGTTCCAACTTGGCATATTGCACTTGCTTGGACAAGGAGTGTACCATCACTTCCGCAATGATGACTGAAAATAACATGAAAGTTCCATCGGCTGTCATGTGGTGTATCTGGCCTGATCTAATTGGTTCGTTATAGTACAATAGACCGTACAGTACCATGCAGTATATTGTACTGTACTCTACAGTACGTACTGTAGAGCCCTTTCAGCGGCATACTGTAGTTGGATGTGGGAAATTCGAAATTATTCAACCTGAGTTGAACACTCAGGTTGAATGGCCATGTGTGTTTATTTTCGTTTTGCAACTTTTGCATGGCAAAGTATATAGTAAAGATGAGTATGTTCTTCGACTGTTCTTACATAATCCTATAAAGTACAGTAATTCTACCTTAGTTTCAGGAATGTTTTTTCCCTTTTTCGACGTCTGAAAAGAACATCAACATGCCGTACAGTATATAGCAAGATGGATGATGACGATGATGTCATCCAACGATCATTTTTGATGGCTGAATGAACAACTGAATAATAATTAGAATCATCATATCATGGAACATTCTAGATGATTTTGAGATATACTGTACAGACATCGATACTGTCTGTATACTTGTGTTAGAACTGGCATGGCTCTTTTCATTGATTGATCGGAATAAAAATGAAACCATCTTGAAGTCCAAGTAAACGAGCTTCCCAAAATCATCAACAACTACAAATATCTCAGTTTTTCAACAAACCATCTCCATCCACTACGGTACAAAAGACCACATCAAAAAACAATGCTACCTGCTTCAGATAGTAAAAAAGTCTCCAATCCTTTTTCAACTGGTGGCGGCGGATACCAATTCGAGCAAAACGTTCAAGCTTATTTTCTAGCTATTTTCCTCATGAAGGGGGTATTTCCGATCATGGAAAGAGCTGATTGTTGTAAGATCGAATTGCAAGCAAGAAGACATGGCATTCGAACAGACGATCTGGTTGTCTATTTCTCTGATAGCAATCAACAAATCGTTAAACTCTTAGCTCAAGTAAAGCATAAATTAACCTTCACCCAGTCTGACGAGCAAACGAAAGATGCCCTTGAGCAAGCCTGGACCGATTTTTGCTCTACAAATTTCAATCCTGAGAAAGACAAAATTGTCTTTATCACCGGTACCCTACCACAAGTTCTGGTGGATCACTTAAAGCCTATTTTTGAATGGGCTCGATGTTCTGAAAATGAAGAAGATTTCATCGATCGTTTTCAACACAATGCTACTGAGAAGAAGAAAAGACTTGAAAATATCCGATCGATTCTAGATAAATTGACATCAACAAAAGTCTCCGACCAACGCCTGTGGAAATTCCTAAAAGTCCTCAATCTCTTATCCTTTGACTTTGATTACTCATTGGGTAAAGATACTGCCAGCGTGTTAAACCAGCTCCTGCCCAACTTAATAAATTCCTCAGAGGAGCATGCTAAAAGGATTTGGGATCGAATTTACCGAGAAACTGCCCGGTTCAATGTGAATTCAGGTGTTATTACCCGAGAAACATTACCACAAGATTTGCTACTGCTTTTTCGCCGTAATTCCCCAATGGCTGATTCGGAATGGCGAATACCACATTTTGATGCGCAAAACTTTGTGGGGAATAAACTCTATCTACAAACAATCTCCGAAAGATTTGAAGGGAAAAAGGGCCAAGGGGTCATTGTCCCACTTTATGGTCTAGGAGGAGTGGGTAAAACCTATCTAGCTTTGAAAACGATAGCAGATTTATCATCAAATTACTCATGCATCGCCTGGTTTAATGCTCGTAGCCAAGAATCTCTACGCGAACAATTTCTAGAGTTTGCAATAGAACATGACATCTTATTGCAATCTTCAGTTTCCATAGATCAAAAAATTGAAAAAATCAAAGGTTGGTTTGTGAACAATCCAAACAGTTTACTTATCTTTGATGATGCTGAGAGCTATACAACTCTCAAGCTCTTTCTTCCTCGTGATGTTGTTCATGTACTCGTAACTTCCCTAAACTCAAAAGATTGGTCTAATGGAATCTCAATCGATCTCATGAATAAAGACGATGCTGTTTGCTTACTGAAACGTGAAGCAGGGATTGAACTTTCAGACCAATCCCAAAACGAACAAATTGATATCCTCATCGAAACACTGGACAGACTACCCTTAGCTATTGCTCAAGCTGGTGTTTATATCTGCGCCTCAAGTATTTCCGTCGCTCATTACTGCCAATTATATGAATCTACTAGGCAATCCATGCTAAAAGATCGTACCCTTTACGAAAAGAGAGATGAACATGAATCTGTCTATGTCACATTTGAGCTAAGTATTCAGAAAGTTAAAGCGAGCCTATCTTCAGCTTGCGATTTATTGCACTATTGTTCCTATTTCAACCCTAACAACATACCAAGAGAGATACTTAAAAAAGTTCCGTCAGTTCAAGGTGCTGACAACCTTCTAGCCACCAATAAGGAAGTTGCAACCCTAAAAAAATATTCTTTAGTCAAAGCAAGTAGGAAGTTCATATCTGTTCATTGCGTCATACAAGACGTCGTGCGCGAAAGACTTGCATCGGATGAATCACAAGATACTTGGCTGTGTAATGTCTTAAAACTCTTAGAAGACAATTCCCCCTACATTCGAAATGATAAAGAGGCTTTAAGAACTGTAAAACTGTTAGTGCCTCACATGATCCGTGCTAAAGAGCTAGCACTAGATGCTTTGAAGGAAAAGTCTCCAGGTAAAGCTTTGGTTACCAGCTTTAAACCAGTACTTGGTGTGATTCTCTATAAAATTGGAGTATTTTATTTAGACTACCTCTACGACAGTAAAGAATCGAAATCTTATTTACAAAAGGCTGAGCTATACCTAAAAGATCCTAATCTCATTAGGAATAATAATAGGTACTTATTGAAGGCATGCACCAAATATAACGAAAAATGTAGTGAAGCTGAGCGATATGCCACCAAATTAAATGCATCACTGTCTAGTTCACATACAGTTAAAGACGTTGATGACCTTTGTGCATTGGGCAATTATTACTTAAAATCATCAAATCTTGTCATCGCTGAAAATTTTTTCCTTTCCGCATTAAATGTCCTAGAGCAGGGAAAAGATGGTGAAAAAAAGGCGATGGTACTCCACTACTTAGGTACGCTTTATAGCAGGTTATGGAAGAATAAGCGAAAAGCAATTGAAGGGGAATATGGTAAAGCTTGGAAACGTAAACGAGAAGACGAAGCTGATACCTATCATAAAAAGGCTCTTGATAATTACGAAGAGTCATTACGCATCAAATTCAACATCTACAGCTCAGGACACATAGAAATTGGTCGCACTAAACATCGACTTGGTAACTTATATCTCAAATCTAAGAATTTTCCAAAAGCTACAAATTACCTCAAGGATGCGTTAGATACTATGAAGTCATTTTACGATACAGAACCTAGGATAGATATCGCAAATATCTTACTATCTTTATCAGAAGCCTACGAAGAACAGGGAAAACTAGAGGAAGCAAAAGACTATTTGATTCGAAGGCTCGAGGTATTTGGCAAATTGCCGGGTGACTATTCAAACACAATAAAAACTATCAACAAAAAAATTAAGAATATTTCCAGTGATAAAAAATCCGGAAAGGCACTTGCAAATTGGCTCGTTAAAATACCATCTGATCCGAACGCAGAATCCTCTATGCTCGAATCTAAAGCCAAACACGCAAAAATTTCGAGCGAATAATTATCCCTTTAACGGTCTCCACATTTAACCAAAGAGATTAAAAGAGGTTTCATTCAAAATATTTATTTGGATGATCCCTATACAATGTCGAGAATTTTAATTTGAAAAACTTGACTTAAATTGATATCAGAAAAATTGACTCTAGACTGTAGCTTTAGGCTACAGTATCTGTTGACGGAAACTCCATCAAAGAAATTCCTTGAAGAATTACACCAAGAAGATTACAAAAAACTTTCAGTAACTCAGGATCATTATAAAGTGATATATTAACCTTGTTAACATTCAGTATCAACTTAATATTATAGTGTACTATCGATTATAACTATCGTACTATACAAAGAAATAGCTGATATCTACGTAAATCTCGGATTACAATTTGATTTGAAGCATCTTGTCGAGATTGTAACAGACCGTAGAAAATAGAAATTTGTAGAAATTGGACTTGATGACCGGAATTATAGAATCTACAAGATATCAAGTTAAATTCAACCACATCTAGACAGAGTGATTCAGATACTGGTCATTTTATAATATCTCTATTCAATTAGGAATACTAAATTATTATTCGATATACGTAGTTATCAGCAATTGTATGAATGTATTCTGATTTCCTTTTATACGAGTCTACATAGTTATGAAAAAGCCTTTTTAACATTAACATTGATCGCTTTAAAAATGTAAACGCATCAACTGTTGTTTTAGTTACTTCTAATCATATTGAAGTTGTAATATCGACTAGTAGTAGCAAATATTAAAAACTAGTTTTACCCGGTATATACCTCAAGAATATGCAATTGGACAAGTTGACCTTGTCATTTACTGCTTTATTAGTATTTTTATTAGATATTGCTAACACCATAGACTTTCTTCTTTCTCTATGGCTAATGCAAATACGAAATCATAATTACTTCCTTAACTTGGTCTACATGTGATATGACATTATTATCAATATTGTAAAAGTTTAATTAATCGTTAACTACCAATATACAATAACAATCGATATGAATAAAATCATTGCATAGACCTCGAATGCACTGCATTATATTACTGTATACTCGTATATCAGCGCTACTCGATTCAGGAAATCTACTTGCGAGTACGGTATAATAATTATAGGTGGTATTGTAGACGTATAACGTACAAGCACACCTACATCAACGTAAAGAACACCCTCAGAACAAAATGTCGACCTCTATTTTGTGTATTATAGCAATGCATAAAGTAAATCGCAATCTATTCACTGCTAGTCTAAGTTTATTCGTTTTATACTTCGATAATAATAGTCTCACTACAATTTGCGAGCTCTTTCAATTCGTTTAGTAAAACTATTATAATTTACAACTCGTCGCTGAAACGCCTTTCGCCTGCACTGCATTTGCTATTTTCTAATTACATAACGATCAGCTTCAATAGTTAGTTTTGATAGGGAAGTAGAACTGGATTATATCGAAAAAGCTATTTGTCAAGGCTAATACAGTACAGTATATGTTCATAATCTGATTGTTTACTTTAGAGGAACCAAAACATCTAAAGTAGCTATTACAGTATTAAAAAATAATTTTAAAACGCTTGTACTTAGTGACTACAATACAATATTTCGCACGTTCTGGTACAATCATAATCTGATCATAGGTACGCATATTTATACCATACGATCATGAAGTCATGAAAGGTTGTGATTTATTGCATATATCAAGGTTCTACAGGTGTAAAACAAGAAAGAGATTGACAAGATTTCATTAAAGTACATACAAGTGAATCGTATCAAGTTAGTATACAGTAATACAGCCATCATTGCAATTCTTTTGAACCATGAAAATTGCCCAGATGGAATTGCATACGTTAAAGATACAACTGTCAAGAACCTCTAGCTGTTGAAGAGAACATTCAATTAAAAGGATAACCAAGTTTATAATTACTGTACAGTGTTAGAAATCATTAAATGCATTAAGTACACTGTCGCAATATAATTTCGATAACTATTGATTAACCGCAACTTTTTTCGCTTATTCATAAATAAGTCATCTGTTTAATACTCTGGGCAGCATCTTATACTTGTAATTATTATAAATTAAAATTGTAACATCTATCTTGTAATGAGTTGTAACCCATGATAGCCAATTATCGATTGCAAAGCCAATAAATGACAAAAGTCGTAATACATGTTATCAAATTGACTGAAAACTTCTACAGGGTAGGAATAAATACTCCCGCATTGAGCAGGCAATTCTAAATTCAACACAAATACTGAAACGCAGTAAACATCTTACTCCAACCGGTTAGTCAATCCTAATACAATTGTAACTTCTTATATATATCATCCAGCATAGTCATTAATACTGACCCTATTACAAACTTCACAATAATAAGTAAGACGCTAATTGAAACAATTCAAGAGCAACGTCTACATTTAAGCGTTTTCCAAGTTAAAGATAAGTTAGTAGAATAATTAACTCATTGGATGGTTAATAAAAATCCTTATTCATTGCGACCATTCCCACTATTATAGTACAATATTAATTCTGCCAATTAAACAAAAATGTTTCTGTTAATAACTGTTTTGTATTTCATTTCGGTCGTAGTCAAGTGTTATTGAGAATTGTTAGTGGAAAAACGCAACCAATAAACAATAGATACTTTCAAAATCTTTTTACATCACTCTACAGGAATATCAGTCTGCCAAGCAGGAAGGTAATGATATACTTTTAACCACAGTAATTACTCTATCTATATTGCGTGTATCACGTCATTGCTACGTCATTTACTGGGCAAAAAAATTTCAATAAATTATTATAGCACTAAGAAGCCTAAGTCGGCATAAGCAGTTACGATCCTACCATATTATGTTTCCAGGCGTGCACAAATGTTATTAAAATTGTTAAACGTTAGCACAGAGTGTAGGATAAATATCTAATGATTACATTGCACTCAAGAACTCAAGTTTGAAAATTGGATTACATGGAAAAATTAGGATATGGATAGTTTGTTTGAGTTAAGTTGCATCCCGGCCGAAAATTGCTTTGTTCCTTCGTGTGCAACGTTGACTGACACGTAGCCGGTTTAAAATCGAAAGGAAAATGTCCACTTCCATGTGCAGTTAATAATGATGAGCTATGAGGTGGCATGGTAAAAGAATTATTACAAGGAATACCTCTACGGTTAGGCGCATTGCCGTACACTGCTTGAGGCAAAGTACTAGGTACTAGCTTCTGTCTCTTAACCATATTGCCAGTGTTTTGAGAACAAGTTGTAGTCATAAAACAGTTGAAAGGGGAATTGTTGTTACTAAGAGTTGGTAAGGAATCACCATCATTTGAAGTTGGAGATTCACATTTTGCTCGATCGTGATGTTTGCCTTGCAAATTATTGTTGTTGGGTATCACTGCGCATCCATCGAAACCGTTCAAATGCTGAGGTGCAACAATTGGACATAAGTGAGGAGCAATATTCATATTCAACTGCGGATTGATCCCATGACAACTTATCTCTTCGACAGGATGTATCAGTTGATTCATCTTCCACTGCATACCTTGATGACTACCATGTAATCCATTACCACTATCAAAATGATCTTGTGAATTCATCGGGCTTGGCTCTCCCGATATGTATCCGTTATCTTCAGACAAACGTGTCCACGACATACAAGTAGTAGATGGTTTAATCTGCCAAGGCATCGAAGAAACAACTACATCCATAGAATTGGAACAATTTGTTGGCCAGCCAGAGAGTACCTATTCAATATGAACAGCTAATGTCAATCTCAGGTCAATTTTATCAATGATATGCTCAATGTGTGCATAATAGTAGAAGTTTGATAAATATTACCTGGAAAGACGATGAATCACAACGATTTGCTTGAGGAGTAGAATGCCAAGCCATCGAGGGTAAGTAATTACATCCGTAACTTTCACCCGTTGGATATATCGGCATAGCACTTGGAGCATGATGTGGGCCTAATGATCCTCCCATTGGAATATTACCTTGTGATATTAAACTATTTTGATTGTTATTTCCAGGAAAGTTCATATAATAGCTATCACCACTATGATTTTGAGGTGCGATAGTTGGCATCATAAAAGGAAATGTGAAATGACCATGATGACAAGAGCTCATGCCCATGTTATTATCGCTTTTAGCTATAGAGCAATTGTTATTAACATGTGATATAAAACGATTGTCGTAGCAATCATATGGTGAAATCTGCATTGTTTCGAGGGCATTCCACTCGGTAGCTACTGTCATATTTTTAGCACTAGTGTGGTAGCTATAGAGATAACACAAAAAAAAAAAAGTTTTAATGACAGAGCACTCCTCTCAGTATTTACTGTACAAATATCTGGAAATACCAAGAAAAACTTTGATCAGTAATGTTAATTTAAGTATACCGTATACTTACTAAGTTGTATTCCGGTAATCTCGTAGGTGAGACATAGTTACAAAAGGATGTTGTAATGCCTCAGCTGGTGTACAGCGTTTTTCAGAATCAATAGTTAACATCAACTTTAGCAATTTGATAAATTGAACTCTATATTTTAAAGCATACAACGAAAGTAAGTCATTATAATCAGTATTTATATATTTTGTTGAACTTCTTATGTAGTATAATTTTGATGGCAAAATTATTAATTCATAAGGTCTTACCGGTCTAATTTATCAACGTTATCGGAAAATTGACGATTGTTATTAAAATTGTGCTAGAAATTAAAAACATAAAATATCAAAAATGGCACTTTCATCTAGTACAAAGGAACAACGGAAATATTGCATACAAGTCACTATTGGATTAAAAAATGAACTAATTAATTAATAGGTAGCAGTGGATTACTTCAAGTGATCCCATCATTTATAAATCTTGGTAAATTGTACAATTCAAATTTTCGATAACGAAGCACTGTAGTGAAATCATCCACAATAGAATGACATTTATGCACAATAGCAAAAAATGAGATTAGTTACCGTCATCAGGTTATCTAGAGAGTTCAGTATGACTTTGCGCGATTCTTTGCTAGCAGTTTTGTATTCTGCTTCAAATTCTGCCTTCGTCTGTGCATAGACAAAAATTATTAGTGGGGAGGTTAGTAACTGATTTAGGCGTGAAATTATAGCTTTAATTTGTTAAGAAAAAATAGAGCTATCCTTTTGTACCTTTAGATGCCATTTTAGACAGTTGCCGGGCGAACGAACTCTCTTAAAAAATTTTTTCGTTTTGCTGCCACAATTGAGCATGCTGTCAGGAGGAAGACCTTGCGTTTGGCTTATATATCGAATCTATATGAATTGACATGTATAAGGTTTTATTTTCGTAATTGTAATAACGTTATCCATATTTTATATCGATTCACATGTCTTGATTATATGTACGTGTATGCTAGATTAATGATGCAAATACCTGATCGTATTCAGAAGAGCCGGGATACAACGGCCATCCCAGAAATAGTTCAGCAAATACACAGCCTAGCGACCACATATCAATAGCTTCACAGTACGGTAAGCCAAGAATGATCTCAGGCGCTCTACAATGATTCATTTCATTACAAGATGTTAAAAAAATAATATTAAGCACCGCGAATACAAGATATTAGAACAAGCACAAAATAATAGCCAAGCGATAAGCAATAGTGAAAAAAAAAAAAAAGTATTCTTTGATCCTATAAAAGATTGATTAGCGGACTGATCATTTGTCAATAGAAACATTTACCTGTAATATCTGCTCTGCATGTATCCTGAGTAAATATTTTTGGAAACGTAACAAGCAGAACCAAAATCGATCACTTTAACTTTCAAGGGCTGATTTTGAGGATCAACAAACATGATATTTTCCGGCTTCAGGTCAGCATGAATTAATCGTAATGATTTTAACTTCCACATTGCAACTAGAACTTGTTGTAAAATTGGTCGTATCTCGTGCAATGTCATTGGTGAGAAATCTTTTCGTTTTAATTCTTCATAGAGGTTAATATGCAACATTTCAAACGCTATACATGTGTGTCCTTGATGCTGGAAAAATTCGGTAGCCTTGATTAAATTGTACTTGTCGACATCTTCAGAATTTAATTTGGATAAGATACCAATTTCAATTTGACCTTGACGAACGTAGGACGGTAGATTTTTGAGTATCTTTAATGCTACCACCTGTTGGTTGTTATACTTCCAACATTTGACGACTTGACCAAAAGTACCACGACCTAAGAATTGGAGTACTTTATAGCGTGATGTCGGCGAAGAAATAATTTCATTTGGTACTAGAGGGTATTCACCATCACGATTACTATTATTGCTCATGACGGTCGCATTTGAGCAACTAGTCAAGTTTGTTAACATGTTGGATGATAATCCATTTTTTTTGTTCAATGCAGCTTCACTGGTTGTCATAGCAGATGCTTTCGACTTGTGTTTCTCTTTCATTTTGATGGTAGTTCTTTCAAAATGAACTGTATTGTAATATTAAAACAGTTAATGGATAGAAGAGTTATCAGGAAATAAATAGACTTGTGTCGAGGCCGAAATGAGCGATTTTAAAAAAATGGCCAACAAGTTGAGGAAAGGTGATTAAGGTTAGCAATTCTGAAATGCTTCGATAGGATAAAATAGCCAAAGAAGGAATCAATTTTTTCGGTATCGAGAGTGAAAATACGTATTATTACTAGCCAAAGACTACGTTAAAATTGCTTGAATAATTTCATATTTTTGGGTATCTGCTGTGCTTCTTTGATTTTCCACTGGTTGTATTTTTATAGATGGATGTAAGGCATATTCTACGTGTTGGAGAGGAAAAGCGAGTCGATTACTTTCAAGTGTACTCTATTTGTCTTGCTTCAATATGGATTTACAAAGAATAAAGATATCCAGTTGTTTTTTCTTTCTTCTTCCGCTTGAATTTTTATCCTCGCTGCGTACGGTAGCGTTGCAATCCTTGTTATGAATAAATTAATGATACGGCCGTAATAGGTCAAGATTATCGTAGTTGGTTAGTAGAATTATGCCAAGTACTTGTACAATTTCAGCATGATCAACCCAATCGACCGTAATCAGCAGGACTTTGTATCTTTTGGAGCACAAGTACAATTCTTGATATTACCGTGCTTAGTACAGTAGTTAGGCGGTAAACAACGGTGGACACAATACAGTAGTAGGATTACTTTCAGTTGAACATAGCGCAGTCGTGGACAATTTAAGTCGTATTAATTAATTAATGCACAAGTCTTTTTTTTTTTTTTGTCAATAATACTGTTATTCAATCCAGCACAGCTTGGGTCGGCAAGGACTTTGATTGTAATGGTTAGGCAGTGAAGGAAGCCCTATAATATAAGAATGTATAATTGATCAAGATATTGAAATGCTTGTTGTTTTGCAATAATAAATGATCATTGACGCACATCGAATGTAGATTGTACAAACTACTATAGCAATGGATCTGTTTATTGATATTGACATCAGTTACGTCGCCCTGGAGGCATAACAATAACATGGAATAGGTAACTTCAATGGCGTCAAAATGAGCTTGTTTTTCTCATGATTGGTATTTTGCAACTGCTACGATGTTGGTAAAAGAGAGATTGCATCTCTTTGCAATCGTGCACTTGTTGCTAACTCAAGCGGCAATTTCAAGGTGTTGACAAATTGATCGTCTGTAGGCATTTTCAACGACTGTTTGTGTTCTCCTCGTCGATCCCTTGACTGTGCTCTGTTTATCACCATCCTTACTCATGACGGTATTGCTCGTATGTTGATCATCATTCTTGTTATTTGTATTCTGCTATGAGTGGATATTGACTACAAAAGCCACTAACGAAGGAACTTGCTGATGTCATGATGGAAATTGTCTGTACAGCTTGAGGTGGATATTTATACAACGATTGTACTGTGTGGATGGGAAAACAGCTGTTCCTACCGACTGTAATCATTCTTTCCTTTCCATTTCTTGACAACGTATTATACATTACTTTACTGGCACAACATTACCAACATGGTACTCCACTGACTTATCATACTGGGACTATTTGATTTTATTCTGGGGCAGATTTACAATATAAATCCATCTCCCAAAATCATCATCCATCAGCCAGCAGATTGACCAACTCCTAGGCAAGTCGAGAAAGGGCCCAATCTGCCGAGACAATGTCCATCCGTACAGTCCGATCCAACACCACGATCTTGGTGGAGCAAGATCGTGCCGTGCCGTTCCTGTCTTTGTATGCTGGCAAGAGTACTGTATCAAACATGAACTAGTGAAAATGCCTCGTCTTGGGTATTGTGGAGAGGTGGTGGACACTGCGCATGCACACTATTGCAGCATTTCTTGTCACTCAAAGGACAGTATGGATTTTTCTTTCTTTTCAATGGCGGCGGCTACACTTGCCATACAAATACCTCGCTGTTGCCAATGTGTTACGGAATGGTAGAATAAAAATGGTCAAGTATTGCATTCTAATGATTTTTTTTTGGGGGGGGGGATTTAGAATAAACGGTAGTCAAGACGAGAGTATATTGAATTGAAGCTAGGGAAGAGCTATTGGATGGGTTGATTTTCAAGATTGTTGTCTTGGAAAAGAAGCGTAGACTGTCAGGGTATTGTAGCATGAAGGAGAGTGGAAGAGTTGGTCGGTTGGTTGCAATTTTAAGCCATGAAATGAAATTAATAGCCAACACTATATCCTTTAGCGTTTGACGAGTAGGCATTTCAGGAGAAATTCTCAATAAATAGGATATTATAAAGTAGAATAGCATGACAGAAGAAAGACACTACAGTAATAGTGACGGTATCTTTATTTTACAAAGAGACGGAACCATTCATAAAGTAGGAGAATGCAATTTCAATGACTTGGGCAAGTATAGTAAGAATGCTATTTTCGCCCATGTCTACTGCATCCATGTACCCTAATTGAATGGCACGCAATCACTTTGAACGATATTGGACGTATTCTATTGCACTCACGATCCAACAACAACGATTGTCAAGAAGGCAAACTTATGCAAGCTCGATAGCACTCAATGGGTATCTTTTTGTCCACGCTCTTGACAGCATTCTGTATACACAGAGTGTAGAGAGAGAGAGAGAGAGGGAGAACATGAAGTGATTTCTGTCGTTCTAACTAGTATCGTCAAGTCAGCATGGTGTGGGATAAAGTGATAAATCAGTCAAAATTTCCTGTTGGATGAATGTTAGTCAATACTGTAATGGAAGCGCAATATGCTAATATCTGACAGTGAACGAGAATAATTCTATCAATCCACACTATCTGATGATTGATACGATTTACAACTAAGTTTACTGTATCATGTTCCCATTACAGTATACTGTATGCTATAGCGCTTTATGGGCATTTTTGCAATGGTGGTTGATCATTTTTCTGAGAATGGAAAATCATTGTTCAATATCGAGTATAAATCGATCAAAGACAAGGAAATGATACCAACGGTATGGTTAGGATCAAAAGCAAACAGTCCAGTCTAGTATGGAATTTATCATAAGATAGGAGGAATAAATGATAGAAAAGGAAACGATACCAAAGGTATGCTTGGGATCAAAAGCAAACGGTCCAGTACAGAGTCTATCGTAAGATAGGAGGAATAAATGATAGAAAAGGAAATGATACCAAAGGTATGCTTGGGATCAAAAGCAAACAGTCGAGTATTGAGTTTATCGTAGGATAGAAGTAAATGAAAGAAAAGGAGATCATACCAACGGTGTGCTTGGGATCAAAAGCAAACGGTCCAGTATAGAGTCTATCGTAAGATAGGAGGAGGAATACATGAAAGAAAAGGAAATCATACCAAAGCCAACAGTCGAGTCTAGTATAGAGTCTCTCCATCATAAGATAGAAATAAAAATATTGGGTGAAAATGACGTCGTGTTGACGTTGTATGCGAGATGAACTGTGGCGCCGAGAATGCTTGACGTTTTCAAATCTTTTTCAATTTTTTGGACCATTACACCTGGATATCTCTCTCATACTGTAACAACGTTTGGAGACAATTTATCGGTCAGGGACATTTTGATGAAATTGTGTTTCTACATTATACTAGCCAAAGGATAATAAAAAAAAAAAAAAGTACAGTAAAATTGTTTTATGGAGAAAACAGTCGTATGTATACCAAAGGGATACTGATTTTAGTCATCGTCCTATTGGAGTTTACTAACCATTCCCACTACGATACCTGTACCAGCATTCTCGATAGTATAAAGGAAAAAATGTTGCAAGAGTAAGACTGTGTATGTACGTAGAGTATAGTGTAGCCATCGATTGCTATCTGGTACAGCTAAAGGCGAAATGCATTACATAGGCTCTAAAATAACGATGATGATGACTATTTTCTATCCAGTCGATGCTAAGACAGCATACTGTACCTTGGAAATGAGTCGAACAACAATGTTGTCGAATCAACCAAGAGAAATTGATTTAGTTGGGAGTAAGAATGAAGAGGTAAGCTAACATTGGACTTGATGACCGATGTAAAAAGTCGTTGAATGATGGTGAATTGGCTATCCATGGGCATGAAAGGTGCTCTTACCGAGGAAAAACTTTTTATTGTACTGTCAAAGATAGAAATGATGACTAATGCATCTCGTTGTAAAACATGGTACAGTATTGAAAATGCTCCATATTGGACGGTCAACTCTAGTCATTTGTCTAGCCCTTTCGTCGTTGTATAGCAATGAAATCGACAGCATAGAAACCATGTGGAGAAAGTGATTCAAAATACTGAATTTGATCGTCTCCATCAAGCAAGTCAAAAGGTAAGTTATTGTTGGAACAAGTGATGTACGTTTAGTATAGGAGAGAGTAGAACTGTGATGATGATTGGGTTTTGTATTTTTTTGTCCAACTTCATGATGACTATGGATGATTGGTTATCAGAAAAAAAAAAAAAAATAGCCGTTATGCCCTTGTATCCTGTGTCCAGTAGGATGGAAAAGAAGCGTGATCAATTGGAGCAATCCTACCCCGTTGATTAGAAAGTCTATTGCGTTTGGTGCAAGCCATATCAAAATAGACTTGAAAGAAAAACAACCTGATCAACGATTGCCTTACAAGTTTTACCTTGACTGTAACCGTACGTCTTCAATCGCTTTCAAAGCGATAGTCTTCTATCCGATACAAGTTGTTCTCACCACCACCAAGGATGATAATAACCAAGCAAAGTCAATCGCTAATATGGTGGAAATCCTTCCAGTCTCGCTTGAATGGCGTTGATAATTTTTCCTTGCAACCTAATTTCCACTTGTAGTTTTGCTTCTCTTCAATGTTTGCCTATCAAGTGGATGACAACCCGATAACGATTGAAGCTCTTTTCTTTCTCCACGTCCTAAATACTGGAAC